ATATATATAAACGTTTGCAGGGATTTTCAGTTTTCAGTGTGAGCATAAAGTGAACCGAGGTTGTGATTTTCAAAAGTTGGCCACTTAAAACACAGCCACAGTGAGAAACCAACTTTTAGGCCATCAACATCTGCTGATGGGGACTTCTCACTTCATCAGGTTTGTGTGACAAATAAATATGCAAACTAGATTGGGTGTTGCTTTGTTTTCTCTTGTCATTTTGCTTAAAACTGTATATTTTAGAGATACAAAGCTTTAGGAGCAAATGTCCAGGCCCGACACTATRCATGGGCAGACCACCAGGGCATCGAATGCACAGGGGGCACCAAACAACTGGCTCATAAAAAAAAACAATAATAAACCATTGTAACAACAAATGTAAACCATGTTTAATATGTTTGATCAAGAAAAAAAAAACAGTATGAATCTAAGCTGTGGTGCCCCGCCCCCTGATCTCAGAGTGGTATGTTTCATGGAACGTGGATACAAGTCAGCACACAAACCCCACTTTCTTTTGTTATGAGTCACTGCTCAGATTTTTTTATAATGGTCTTGGTATTTATTCATTTTATTTTATGTCTTTGTTAACGCAAAAATAGCTTTAGTGTTTTACAGTGGTTGTCATTTCTGCTCTGACAGTTTCACTTGTGTGTTCATATTCTGATATTTGCAACTGTGATTTCAAAACAACTGAGAGGTTATTGTGGAAATTAAAAAGAAGCACACTGGTGCATGCTGAATTATTTCTCATGAGGGGTGGGGGGGCTTAGGGCACCCAAATGATTAGTACCGGCCCTGCAAGTGTACAAATGTTTAACAAATGAATATATGTATTTAAAGAGTTTAGATGCTGCAAAATGTCTAAATAAATTGTTGAGGCTGAATGAAATGCATAGAACCCAGCAGAGAGACTAATACAGACTAACTCTTTGTGTGTTTATCTTGTGAGATCAGTGCAAACTTACTTTCCATCGCCTGCAGATACTCCATGTGCAGGGCGCTGGCACTGCTGGCCCCGGCCGCGGTTGCCACAGACGGGAGAAGGTCGGTCGTGTACGGGCTGCGGTGGCCCGCCAGCAGGGCCATCGGGTGGTAGTACTCTGCTGCCAGACTCGTGTGAGGCACTGGAGACGGGGAACAAAAGGTCGAGTCAGAAAAGCGAGGCGGCGTACAGTCACGATCACCAACCGGTGGGCCAGCTTAAGGAACGCTGGGCAGGGAAGAGCGGGCAACGAGTGAGAAAATGCATTAGGCGTTAAGTCGAACACGACAGGGAGAACACCTGCGCTGCGTTAGAAAACTTGCACTCATTTACTTCGAATGATAATCAGCTCASCAGAACAGTAATGAGCGCATTAGCAACACCATCGAGTTAACAGAAACAGCTGCACGGGGAGCATCACCTGAAGTGGAGAGCCTCACTGGGGGATTATGGAATGCTTTCTCAGAGATTACAGTGAGTGTGCATTGGTGTTTGAATGATGCATTCGTGCAGAAAACAGCAAAACTGATCATCTTGCAATACAATCCTTAAATAGCCTTTTTTCTCTCTCTTTCTGTCTCAATGTTCTTTGATCACCAGTGTTTATATGGTGTGTGTGTGTGTGTGTGTGTGTGTGTGTGTGTGTGTGTGTGTGTGTGTGTGTGTGTGTGT